AAAAAAAAAAAAAAATAAAAAAAAAAAAAAAAAAAAAAAGTCTAATATAATTATTACATTTTTTAATTTTCTCATCTTTATATTTTAATAAACAAAAATATTTTTCTATTTTCTTTTTATAAGTTTCTTTCTCTTTTGAGATTAAATTATTAATTTCTACAATATTATTTTGAAAATCAGAATGATAAGTAATATTCAATTCCTCACTTAATTTTTCTGATTTTTCATATGGGTTCATTATGAAATGATTATCTGACAACTCAATTACATATTTCTTTATATCTTCTAAAAAAGGCTACATAAAAAAAAAAAAAAAAAAATTTATAAATAAAAAAAATGTAATTTTCATTAAAAAATTAATATTATTATATTTGATAAAAATAAAAACATTAACATTTAAATAAATTATAGAATATAATAATAATCTAATAAACAAAGAAAACATATAAATTATGAATACTAAACAAACAAGAATAAATTTAATGAATATACATAATCAAAAAATATTATAATTAAAATATATTAAAATAAAACTAATATATATATATATATATATAGAAAAGTAGATATATTCATTTTAATATTATAAATATTTTTTTATTGTTATTCTACTTTTTCTTCTTTATTTATTTTGGTAGATAGATCATTTAAAAAATAAGATTTTTTTTCATTAAAATCTTTGATGATTTCTTTTTTTAGGTTATCATAATTTAAATTACATTCAATATTTTCATATTTAAAATTATATATTATTTGATTTTCATCTTTATTTATTATTTCATTATCATTATTATCTTCTATTTCATTTTGATTTTTAATATTATTTTCACTTTTATCTAATATATCATCTGTCCTGTTTACTAAAAATGAGAAATAAAAAAAAAAAAAATGATAGATAAGCTTTTCTTTGAAAATTCTATATGAAAAAAAAAATATATATATCATTATAATAATTTTTATATTTTTTTTATAGAATTTTTTTACATTTTTTTCTAATTCTATTCCTTCTTCTTTCTATCCTTCCTTCCCTTGATATACTTAATAAATCATCCATTTCTTTTTATCTATATGTGGTATTATGTATTAGAGTTTTTTTAAAAAACACAAAATATATAAATTTAGTTTTAAAAGAATACATTAAAATTTTTTAATAAAAAAATTAATTAAAAATATATTTTATATTAAGTTTATGTGTATATGTGTAGAATAGGAATCTATTTATTGATTTACAAAAATAAATATTATTTCATTAATGAAAATGCTGTAGAATAAAGACAATATAAAAACATTAAAACTCTATATTTTAGTAAAAAAATTAAATAATATATGTCTTTTTAAAAATTAAAACTAAATAAAAAATATTTTTAATTCACTTAAAAAAAAAAAAAAAAAAAAAAAATAGAATAACGTTTAACATGGAAATTTTAAAATAATCGCATTATACATATATATATATATAAATTAAATATGATAATATATTTCTTTTTTTACGTAGGAATAATTTTAATATATTCTTATTTGTATTTATTTTAATTTTTTTTCTTTTAATTTCTTCTTATAACTTTATATTTTATTGAAAAAAAAAAAATTAAAAAAAAAAAAATACATGTATAGGAATATGAGGGATATGAGAAGTTATAGCACTATATCATCTGGAACTAAAAGAAAATTTGAAAGTACAAATTTTATAAAAAAACAGAAATTATTAAATAATAATATAAAAATTAATAATATTATAGAAATAAGAAATTGTAATAATAAGGACAAAAGGAGATCATTCAGTCTATCAAACAATTTTACTAACAAAAATGATTTTTCTGCATGTGAGGATTATCAGAAGTTAAATAAAAGCACAATAGATGAAAATTTAAGAAAGTATAAAAGTAACTTAAGAGAAAATATATATTTTTCTAATAATAAAAAAAAAAATAATAATAAAATTAGTGAATATTTAACTAAAAATTCTTTGAATTCAAAAATTTTTAAAAAATTTTTATTTAAAAAATCATTATTATATAAAACAAGATGTCTTAATCATAATTCTACGTGGCTATTAGAATTATCAAAAAGTAAAAAGGGAAATAGATTTAGTGAATTAATTTATAACGCAAATCTTATTGAACCTTTTCCTTTTTATAAAAGTGCGATTAATTTGTTTTATGAAAAAAAATATAAAGACGCATATATATTATTAAGTAGTACATCTACATATAGTTCTTGTTCCTTTAATGAACATAATATATTGAATGATAATTTTTTTGAAAAGAAAAGTTATAATTTGCAATTTATGTTAAACTTATTACACTCTAATAATAAAAACAATTTATATGAAAAAAATAATATGAAAAAAGATACAGAAACAAATATTTTAATGAAAAATGAAAATGATTTTACTTATAAAGTATCAGATAATAATGATAAGTTTTTATTTAATACTTTATTAGAAGAAAAGAATCAAAAAATAATAAATAACGATATCGTTAGAAAGAATAGCACTTATAAATGTTTTAAGAATAAAATATGCAATAATAATGGAAATAAAAAAGAAAAAAAAAAGAACAAATATATCAAGGAATTTAATTATGCAAATAACAAGGATAAAGAATTGATAAAAAAAGATAGTAGCAATATGAATTGTTACTGTAACATGTACTTGAAAAAAAAAAATTATAATAAAAAAGGGTTAATTTTTAATACAATAAAAGAGAAAAATAGAAATCATAGCAAAAATAATATCAATTATAATTTTGAAGAATTCAATGAAAAATACGAAGTAGAGAATTATTTAGAAAAATATGATGATGGATATTCTGAAAAAAAAAATAAAAATATTTCCATCAGCGATAATGATTGTATGTTGAAACTAAGAGGAGAACATAATAAAAAAGTTGATAATTGTAATAATAACATGGATAACAGAAAAAAAAGGATGAACATTGTTCATAATGAAAAAAATATTTATAAAAAAGAAATAAGAGTCAATATAAAAGAAAGTATTAAGTTATTTATTTTCATAAAAATATTATGTTTATATTTATATAGCAACTCATTATATGAAGAGAATATAAAAAAAGACAGAACTTATCAGTTCAGTAGTACAAAAAGTCATGATAAAAAAAACTTAAATTACACTAATGAGCACTTTAATATAAAAAATTTCGAAAGAAAAGAAATATTAATTTATATTGTTAAATATTTAAATAAGATAAAAAAAAAAATAATATTTGATACATATTTATATTTATTATTAAGTGTAGTTTATTATGACTTAAAAAAATTCAATAAAAGTTTAATATATGTTAAAAAAAGTATAAAAAAGGATTACTTTAATTTTGCTTCGTGGATATTTTTCAATAATTTAGCTTCCATAGAGATTTCTATGTGTGATAATTCAAATATAACAGCAGAACACAGTAATAAAAATAAAATTAAATTTATAGAAAATTATAAAAATAAGAGAATGAAGAAAAAAAAATTGTTATTAAAAAAAAATACATTTGTAAGGAATTCTAAGAAGCTAAAAAAGTTATATCTTCATTTATTTGAAAATGATTATTTTTTTAATATAAAAAAAAATTATGTAGATATAATGAAAAATTACAATGCTTACATTTACATTAATCCTATCAAAAATTTAAAGGAATCTTTTTTTTTTAAAAATAATTATTTCGTAAGTAAAATTTTTAATAAGAATATAATAAAAAGAAAGAAAAATAGAACAAATCATAATTTTTTTAATAAATATAGAAAATACAGAAAAAAATATAATTTTAAGAATAATTTGATGACTTTATTTGGTTATGCACACTTTTGCTCTCTGAATAATGTCCTCTATAAAGATGCTATTAATGTATACGAATATTTAAACAGAATATTACAAAATAATTTATATGTATCAAGTCAATTAGCTAAGTTGTATTATTTCTGTGGTAATTATAACAGGAGCATCAAATATTTTAATCAAATAAAAAAAATTAATAGAAAAAATCAAATTTTAAAAAAAGAAATGTTTCATAATTATTGTATTTTTTATTACTTGAAAAATATAAATAAAGAAGTGCATACAAAAAAAAAAAAGGATCAAGACATCTCTGAAAACTTTAAGAAATGTAATGTTAACCATATAATGGTTATAAACGCAAAAGATTATAAATATATTAAAAATATAATTTTACCACAATATTTTTCAAAAAAATTTATTTATACAGAAATTTTGGTAAACATATTTTTTTTTCAAAAAAAAATTCCTGATTTACGTATTCTTATTTATAAATTCCAAAAAAAAAAGAAAAATTATGATGAAAGATTTTTTTATATGTTAGGGAAATATTTTTCATTAAGTGGTAGTCATAATAAATCAATTTATTATTTTAAAAAATCAATTAAAATAGATAAGTTTCATTTATATTCATATATGAACTTAGCACAAGAGTATTTATTATTTAATAGCATTAATAGTTGCATTTATATATTAATAAAAGTAATTATTTTATATTTTAATAATTCTAATGCATGGTTTAGCATAGCTAAGTGCTTACAATATATAAAAAATTATTCTTTTTCTATCTTTTCTTATCAAAATGCTATTTATTTTCAACAAAATATTGTCTCATATTATTTTTTAGCTAATATATATTTAAAAAAAGGAGAAGTAAAAAATTATATAAAAACATTAAAAAAAGGATGGAAGTTTAAAAGAAGCATAATATTTTCTTCTAAATTATTTCTTGTATATTTAAAAATATTAAAAGAGAAAAAAGAATTTTCGATTAATTTTTCTGAAAAAAAAAATATATTTTATTTAAGAAATTACATGAAACAAAAATATTACAAGAAAGATAACAATTGTTTTATTTGGTGTGTTAAATATTTAAGAAGTTATTTCAAAAAAATATATAATAAAAATAAAATTTATTGTTCTAAAGTTAATTTAAAGAATTTAAAAGCTTGTAATAATTTTAATAACTATATAATAAATGGTTTTATATTATTTGGTTGTGCTAATAAAAAAGAACTAACACATTTAAATAAACCTTTTTTTGAATCCTTAAATTCACTTTATGATAAAAACACAAATTATTTATATTTTATTTATCTATTAAGAAATTCAAACAATATTTTATTTAAAGCAATTTTTTATTTAGCTAATTATTTTTTTTTTAATGAATATTTTTATAATTCTTTAAAGTTATTTAAAATTTTGTGGGATGCTGGGGGAATTTATTCAGAGGAGTCGTTTAAATTATTTCGGTTCACAAAAAATATATTACAAGAAAAATATTAAAATAAAAAAATAACATTTCTAACTCAAATATATATATATATATATATTTTTCTTAATATATTTGTTTGGTTATCTTATTATTTATGATAGATATATTCTTTATTTTATATCTATAATTTCTTTATCTTGTAAATGTTTTTTAAAGGTGCACTAATATGTACATACTAATAAAATATTTTTAAATAATTTTGTATTTAGAATTTATATATTAATATAAAAATTGAATAAATTATTGATCTTTATATTTTGGTGATAAAATTTCTTATAAGAAGTTTTATTTTTTGTATATTTTATTTTCTTTCCCTTCATTTAATTTTTTTTTTTTTTTTTTTTTTTTTGTAACGTAATTTTAATAAATATATTTAACAATTTTTATTATTCTGTAAACTATAATTTGTTGTCAAATATATATATATATATATAGTTAAATTTTTATATATAATTAAAATTTTAGTCAATTTATAATATTTTTTTTTTTTGTATATTTACTAATATAATGTGTATTTAAAAAATCAAACGTTTAATAATTGTCTTTGTTTCATGTAGATATGTTGTATAAAATTAGGGAATACACGTTTTTTATTCAAAAAAAAAAAAATAATGAAAATATTATTAAAAAAACTACAAATTAATATTCTTAAAAAGTGTAGTTATATGATAAATACTGTAACAATAAATGAAATATTATGTTTAAATTTTGATGAAAAAAAAAAAAAAAAAAAATGCATATGCTATACATGTGTCTATCTTGTAAGAAGCGTACAAAAAAAAAAAAAAAAAAAAAAAAAAAAA